GGACGGGACGGGCTGGCCTGCGTCGCGCTGACTCACGAAGTTTCACTTCTTTCCTGCCTTTTCCCACCTGGGGCCGGGGGAGAGAATGCCCGTTTCTGTTGTCGCTTAGAACAGCGTCCCCACGGAGCACGGAGCTGCCTGGACCCGGAGTGCTAAGTTCTCCTTGTCTGCGTCCCCCGGGGAGGTCGGCGAAAGGAGCAGCAGATTGCATTTTCTGCTCGGCATCCTCGAAACCCTCCCGGCGGACTCCCCCGGGTCCGAGCTCTCACAGCTCTGGGGACCGTCGCTCTCCGCGGCGGGATCCGGTGTGCGGGGCAGGGCGTTTTCAGGGACTTCCCCGGTGGCGCTCCCCGGAGGAGCGTGTGCTCGCCGTTCTGAGAATGCGGCTGAGCAAAGGCAGGCGGGGGTAAGATTGGAGATGCACGAGGTTGGTAAATCAAGTCCGAACCCGGTAGCCAGGAGGAGACCTGGACGAGAGCGCCTGTCCCTTTCCGCCCTCGCGCCTACGTCCGGGATGACCCGGAGCAGAGCGGCTGGTCCCGGGACACGATTACGGCAAGTGTGGAGGGCAGGCCAGAGCCCGGTTCGTGAAGTGTGGGGCCGGGCTCCGGGCGGGCCGAAATAGGGCGCAGGTGTGAAGTAGGGGGCCTATCGGGGAGTGGAGTGAAAGGGGACTAAGTCCTGAGGGCCCTGGTGAGGTGCACGGTGTGGAACCACGTGGGGGGAGTGGGGCAACGTGCTGGGGTCTTAAGGGGTTCAGATGTGGGCAGGGTCGGGGAACCGGATGTGGGGGTCCAGGAGTGGACCACTGACTCTGGAAACATTGTGGTGGGACAAGATGGGAAGGGTGCCCATGTCCAGAACAAACGGTGTGCGCTGCAGCCAGGCCCGCGGGGGCCAGCCTCTGCCTGGATAAAAGCGCAGAGATGCCCTGGCCGGTGCGGCTCAGGTGGTTGAGCGTCGTCCCCGGCAGAGAAGGGTCGCCGGCACCATTCCCAATCAAGGCATATACCCGGGTTGCGGGTTCCATCCCCGGTTGGGGTACGTGTGATGCCCATGCCACCCTTTTCTGATACCTCCTGGTGATACTTCCAGCAAGAACTTTGGGTTCTAATGCCATATTGGCCCCTATCCATTGCACTTCCTCCTGTAGTAAATGACTTCCGGCAACGATAACAAAAGCTGTTATGGAGCTGTCCCTGTGTACCAGGAACGGCACTCTTACCTGTACTAATGATTCAACAATTAAATAAGCAGGTATATGAGAAAGAATAACTTGCCCAATAGCACACAGAAGAAAATGCAGAGTAGGGGGGGCGGGGAGCTCCTCCCAGCAGCGTCACTGTGTGTGGTGGAGGAAGAAGGTGGGGCAGGTTTGGGGGCAGGGTTCGAAAGGCTTTAAACCAGGCTAAGGGCCTGGAATTTTATTCTGAAGATTTTTAAGCAAGATGATTTGGCAGAACTGTCTAATGCAGGGGTTCTCAACCTGTGGGTCACGACCCCTTTGGGGGTCGAACGACCCTTTCACAGGGGTTGCCTAAGACCATAGAAAACACATATATAATTACATATTGTTTTTGTGATTAATCACTGCTTTAATTATGTTCAATTTGTAACAATGAAATTGGGGGTCACCACAACATGAGGAACTGTATTAAAGGGTCGCCGCATTAGGAAGGTTGAGAACCACTGGTCTAATGGCAATGACCAGGGTGGATGGGGTGGGGAGAAGTGGGTGCAGGGAAACCAGCTACAACTTCTGGCAACTGTCCAGCCTTGAATCACTGAAGATGAAACAGGCTTTGTCAGGGGCCTTCACTTAGCATTCCCTGGGTAGCTGCTCCCGCTAGGAACACAGCAGGTGCTGGGAAGACAGCAGTCCACAAGGCAGCCTCTGGGCCTGAGGAGGACATGAAGGAGATGGGCAGGCAGTCAGATCACCCTTCCACGCTGCAGAGTGCTGGAGAAGGGCCTTCAGCAAAGGTGGGGCTGAAGCCGTGAAAGCCTCCCCACCGGGGACCCCAGAGGGTCCTGGAAGAGGAGGTGAGGGAGGGAGGGCAGCACTCATGTGCAAAGGCCTGGAGGTAGAAAAGGCTCAGAAAATCTCAGAAGCAGGAAGTTCAATGCAGCTGAAGCACAGACTGTGGTTGTGTGGGGATGAGGCGTGAGGATGAGCAGTCAGTCAGACTGCAATGCAGGAAGACACCAGGAGTCCTGCAGGTCAGCACTGTGTCTGACCCCCTGGCAGCACTGAGCAGGGGCATGGGTGTGGGAGGATACAGGAGGCACTGTCCTGCAGAGACTGGGCACAAATCCTGGTTAGGAGCAATGAGGGCCTGAACAGAGGCCCAGAGGGTGCAGAAGTGATGGAATTCAGAGACAAAAGGGGATGGAGGGAAGACTGGCTCAGGGTGACTGAGTGGATGCAGGGAGCGGGGGCTCAGGCATAGACAGACAATGTGAAACTCAGTCTAGAACAGCCGTGGGCAAACTACGGCCCGGATCCGGCCCGTTTGAAATGAATAAAACTAAAAAAAAAAAGACCGTACCCTTTTATGTAATGATGTTTACTTTGAATTTATATTAGTTCACACAAACACTCCATCCATGCTTTTGTTCCGGCCCTCCGGTCCAGTTTAAGAACCCATTGTGGCCCTCGAGTCAAAAAGTTTGCCCACCCCTGGTCTAGGATGTCTAAGTGCAGATTTGGGCCCAGAGCTCAGGAAGGGCACTGTCCAGGGCTGGAGACACAACTTATGGGAGAGGTCATCGCAGGAGCTGGGGAGTGTTCAGGGAGAGGGCAGAGCCCTGGGGATAGCAACTATTAAGGGGTCCTGGCCTCTAGCCACTGGTTGGTGAGAAAGTACGAGGTGGGAGGAGCCACAGGAAAGTGCCTTGGCAGCAACTAAGGCTGAAGTTGGGTGGTATGAGGTATTTCGGTGGGGAAGGAAGTCCATTATAATTGCCAAGTCTTGTGTGGTGAGTAATGGTAGAGATTTTCCCACTGGCTTACACCCCCAGGCCTCGTGACCATGGAGGTAGCTGGGGGCCGCAATTATGATGGATCAAGTTTCCTGCCAAGTAATTGGGATGGGGTGGGGTGGGGTGGGGGGTCAGAGGAGGCTGATTTGGCTTGGATAATGAAATTAATCTAGTACTTCCTGCTAGAGTGACATGCATACCTCCCTCTCAGTGAGAACCTGTTGACTGGGTATTGGGTACCTGAGGAATCTCAGCTGGGATCAGTGAGAGGAAGCAACAGAGCAGGCTTCTCCCCAAAGCCTGCAGAGTCCAAGCTCTGGTGCAATGACTGGAGAGCAGTGGAGAGAAAGATCAGCAGCCCAGGAAACTCCTCCCAAATGACTGGAGGCCTTTCCTGTGGATAGAAGCTAAAAGGGCAGCTCGGAACCCCGACATGGTTGGGAACAAGGCTCCATTATATCTAAGCCCATCATGTTCAAAACAACAAAACCCCACCCCTAGGAGGCAGACCACAGGAGAGGGGTGGACCCGGGGCAGGGATCTTCCTGAGGCTGTTTTTCTGGGGATTGGCGCCTCCCTGTGTTCTTCAGGGGAAGGCCACCCCACTTCCTGGTCCCTTTGGGGTTGACTCCTTCCTCCTTGCTCTTTGCCCTCTGGCTCTTTATGCCACCAAGATAGGGAAAGGATCTGACTATACCCTGTTTACTGACTGGTGGATTACACTGGACAATGCTTCCTCCGCCAGCCAGCCATCTATGTTGTCAAACTTACCCTTGAATTCGCCAAATATTTGACAAGGCACCGTGCTAGATGCTGTGGAGAACAAGAAAGCAAATCCGATGCCCAAGGGTTTAGGCTTTAGTGGGCTTGGATAGTGGGCTTTCGTGGGGTGCCTGCCCGATTTTGCTTTGGAAGAACACCCAATGTAGAGCTGCCATGTGGCCCTAATGGAACTCACCCTGCCTCTAGCTCCATAACAGTCATCTCATGACTCTTGCTACATCAGATGTGTGGTTTTCTCCTGCCCGCTATGATTAGTTCAGGATGCTCAGGTCAGAGTAAAGCGAGGGA